AGCGGTGAAGCACTGCCTCCCGGATAGCAACAGCTCTCCCGAGTGGAAAAAAAAGGGATTGTAAACATTAAAATAAACTTCTCCTGACTAACTTTGTGCTTCTAGAGGGATCGGGTTGGATTTCACCCCCAGGCTGAGCACAGGGAGCACGCCTGCCCCTCCGTCGCCCACCACAGCATCCCTGCCGCGGCATGGCTGAGGGACCAGACCTGCACTGCCAGCATCATCCACATGAAGCCGGGGAGACCGTGGCATGGGTGAGGGTCTTGCTGCTGTGTCTGTCTCATGGGACGACACTGCCCCGTCTTCCAGTGGGTCCCCAGCTCAGCCTTTCCCAGAGACTGGGGGGTGCTGGGGGGACAGGGCGACAAGGCACAAGGGGAAATACCTGGCTGCCTCAACGTAGGGACTTTCTACTTTTTTTTTACTTTGATTATTATTATTTAAAGCTAGCCCTGGCAGGCAGATGTCTAAGAAGAGATGCTGCTCTGCTCAGACAGGGCTAGGGTGCTGGTGCTTGCCCCCATGCCTCCCAAGCACCCACAGCGGGTGGGCGCTAGCGAGGAGCCCACCCCATCTTCCTGACCACCAAAGCAAGTCAGACACACGTCCTGCGGCCAGAAGACCTGTTCAACCTACTGTCCTGCCCAGCTTTACTTTGGGCCAAAGCACATCTTATTTTCACTCCAGCTAATAATTGGGGTTTTTTTAAAGATGGTGATCTAAGAGCTGCCAGTTTTCATTACACTTTTCCAGGGACTGCTGAGTCCTTTCCTCTCTCTGTGTCCCCAGTGGTGGGAAGCAGAGATGGGCCAAGGTGGCCTGAGCCGGCACACACAGCGACAGCAGCTTTTGGGGTCAAAGCGCAGCCCTGCACCCCTCCGTCAGAAAACACCAGCCGCGTTGGCGGCGTGACACCAGCCAGAAGGTGCTTCCCAGGACTGAGCGAGCCAAAGCTCTGGTGTGCTCCTGCCGTGGACAAGTGAGGGTTTAAGAGCCTCCTCTGAGTTTGCACGAGTCCCCCCAACGCCCAAGCCCCCACGCGCAGCCGCAGTGCCTGCCTTGGGACCAGCAATTCATTCTGGCAGGGTTATTCCTCAGCACGGCAAATCTTCACGAGTCGCTCCGAGCAGGGCTATGGATGAACGGCGGGATTCAGAGGATAAAGGCTTTATTTATTAAAATAATCATTCTTTTTTTCTTTGTGAGGCAGGAAGCTTGCAGGGCTGTATGTGATGTGACGCAGATAACCAAGTCCTAAGGCTGCATCTGCTCACGTGTATTAGTAACACTGATGAACTACGCTGAATATTTTCTTTGGTGGCTGCAGGGTTCAGGGGTGAAGTGGTCTCTGCTCCACAGCCCCACTGGATGCCACATCCAGGTCGTGCTCCTCCAGGTCCCGGGTGAGGTCTACAAACGCCTACAACGCAACGCAGCAGAAACACCTCTATTATTGCCAAGGTCTGCTGGTATCCACACCGGTCACAAGCTACTTTTTCTTTTTATACAGGCAGTTTCTAGCCCGTAACTTCTACATTAACAGACCTGTTGCAAAGTGTTCAATGACAAGCTGTACTCCTCAAGCCTGAAATTCTGTTTAGCTGTGGAGGGATGGAGAAAGCATCCTTAAAAAACAAATACATATGAACAACTTGAAAGCCATCTTCTTACTTAACTGATTGTTTCTTTTTACCTGCTTCTAGCTTGGAGAAAGACTGGGACAGAGGTAGTGCATCTTCCATTGGTATCTTGTAGATGAGCAAAGAAGAAGTTCTGAAAAAGTAATAAAAAAATGAATTCATCTTTTCGTGACTCAGCACCAAGGTTTAGGGGTGCTTGTAGGGTTGCTGTACTCCCAGGTAAATTATTGAGCAAGCTCAGTAGGAGCAACAGAGCATCCCAGCACAAGTCCAAGCTGGGTGTGCAGCCCACGGGACAGTGACCTTTCTTGCCGAGCCGCGTGGGGGAAGAAGCGCAGAATTTCAGCGTGGAGAGCATCACTTTGCCCCATGTCCGTCATTTTGACTTCTAGGTGGTAAGTTGTGCCAAATTTACTTTTCAGATCCTCAAGGGAGCCAATGTAACTGCAGAGGAGGGAAAACAGTGCTCAAATAATCATAAACAGCAAATAAAGCAATCACTGGATATGAGCAGCTGATTATATATATCCTCTTATTCATCAGCGGTTTATACCGTGCTGCTAAAACAACCTACCTCCTCCCAAAACTACGTTCATTACACACTTGGGACAAAACAAACCAACATTTTCTATTAATTAGATTAAAAAGAAAAACCAAACAAAGAAAACCCCGAAGCATCCCGGTGAGCGACGTGACGCCAGTGCCCACCGTAGCTGCCCTGACACCAGGACGGCCACTCGGTCGCACGTCGTTGCCGCCTCCTCCAGGTACCGCGTGCTGAGGATTCCTGCCCGCTCCTTGCTTTTCATGGTGGTCTGAATCACCTTCCTGGGAACAGAGGGGTCGCAGTTACTTCACAGCAATAGCCAAAGAAAAATCTCCCATTTTGCATCTCCCTCCCAAAAAACAACTGAAACGATAAAATTATAACAAAGTGGATGACTATTTAAAAGACTTCAGTTATCTTGCTTAAAGATGATATGTGGATGCCTATGCTATGTTGCAATTTGTCACGTCAGCATCCCTCCAGATTTTACACTTCCAGGGTAAACTGTTGATGGAAAGCTAGAGCAAGCACTAGGGCTGAGTGATGAAAAGAATGAACTACCTGTACTTTCATCTCATGCTCTGAGGAAAACAGGAGTTTTGTCTTTTGTACCAAGTGCACGGGCTCCGCTGGAGTCCGCTCAGATTTTTTGGGTGCACTACCATTAAGATTAAACCTGATGGTTAGCAAGGACTTACTGCCTGCTGAGCAATGAGTTTAGCAAGTGGCACCCGGTGCCCTGTGCATTAGGAAAAAGGGAAAACAGGGATGTACTCTGGCACCGGGGCAGAACCTGTTTGCTTGGCCAGCGGTTACTGGAATTGTGAGGGTAAGACACACCCTGTTAAATCTGTTCCACACATCCCGGTTCCGCTAAAACGGGGCTGCTCACCGCATACGGCGCTGCCCTTTCAGGTCCATGCCCGCTGACGGCTCGTCCCAAAGCATTACCCTCAGGTCTCCCAGGACGCTCAGCGCGAAACACAGCTGAAACGGGAAAGACAAGAAGGGCAGGGCAGGTCTGCTTTTACTTTACCCGCAAAACTGGTCAGTTGTCCTGGTACGTCTTCACCCCTGCGAATCTTTTAGAAGCTGAAGCTTCATTTTTTTTTTTGAATCTTGATTCCAAAATGCAGGAGCAACAGGTATTAAAAAAAAACCAAAACACCACCTCAGGTGTTCTTAGTTAACTTTTTAATCTCCCAGAATCATCTTTCCTCAAAACCCCCAAGCCTGCCAAAGACCTGAAAGTGGTTTTCCATCCCATTTACTGGCAGATGCACGTGGTGGGGCATGAAGAGGTGATTAGCTTGTAAATCCAATTTGTGGTTAGCATTTCTTAAACACACAACGTGGGAGAGTGGGGAAAGAGGAGAGGGGGGTGTCCTGCCAGGCTGGATTCAAAAACTATTGATGAAAACGAATCACGCCAGGAACCTACTTTGCCCTATCTGCTTCTGTGTTATAAGGAAGTAGTTCCCTTTGAAACGATAAGGATCTGAAATTTTTATTTTTTCTATTTGACTTTAATTTTAGGCTTCAGTCCAAGAAGAAAATTTCTACTTTGTGCAACAAAAAATCCCCAAACTTTTACAACATCAAGCACCATATTCTGCTCTCACTGACACCAGGGCAAGGAACCCAACACATCCTCGAGCTTGAATGAAGGTTTTCTGTGCACCACATTCAAGGGAGAAAGAGCAGGATTTGCTCAAACACAAATCTAACACGTACCTTTCTGGCTTCTCCAGCAGATAATCTCCTCGCTGGGGTTTTTAAATGCTTCTGGAGATCCAAGGCCTTTGCTATGCTGTGGGGAATAGAAAGGAAAAATACTGAAATGACCACCTCTCTCTACTAACGCCGTGGTCAGGGGTACTGAGGAACCGGAGGCTAACATACATGTTCTGGCTGATGTGCATCACCTTGTGTTACTTGGTGATTTTAGTCCTAGCTCACATGGTAAATTAAGGCATTTTTGCAGAAACTCGAGAGCGTAAGCACAGCTAATGAGAGAAGGGAGCTAGTCGTGTAACTAGCCATGAACTGGAGCAAGTTTAATTTTTTCCTGAAGTTTTCTAGATAAACTAGGGTTAAGGTCTTCACAGGCAAGGGGTTGAGAACAGTATAAAGTAGCAGGTCTCATCAGAAGGAGACCCAGTTTCTCCAAGGTAAAGAGGCACCGAAGGTGCTGCCTCTTACTTGCACTAGCCAGGTTTGTCCGCACAAAAACCCTTCCCTGCCCTGTGCCTCCGGAGGGGGGGACGAACCGAAAGCTCAGAGCATTTGTCTCTGTACCGGCTGATGGCAGCAGCTGCATCCTCTCTCCTCATCC